GTAATTATAGTAAGAAATAAATATTGCATTGACTAATATCTTCAAAGAATCACAAACAATGTGTGCGAGTGTCATTAGGAAGGTCAGTGAAGACAAATTGCAGCACAAATGTGGAAATGCTGGAAGTGATCAGATAAGATTAAACAGAATTGAAAGAAGAAGACATTTTGGAGAATGTGTGATATTATTTTTGAATTGTGAAACCAGAATAAGCTTGATGAATATCATAATGTCCATTAGTTTCTGAATGCCTTATGTCTGCAGGATAATGTTAATGAGTGATATGACCACCTGTAGTTGAACTAACAAATTCCCCAGATAGCCGATTCGGGAGCTTATTTTTCTAACCACTATTAGCCACTACAACGACAACAAGCGCGACGCAAGAATTCAAGAAGAGAAGAAAGACCGTTGATGGGGAGAGCTTAACTGTTTCGTATCAACAGTTAAAATGGTTAACAGCGGTTGTTTGTATATATGTATATACTTTAGATGACCTTGAGAGGCACAAATTACATCGATAAATTAAAACAGTCAATAACCAATAGGATACCAGTGTCATAAGTGGGGTGAGGGGATAACAACCAGCCATGTAAGAGAACGTGGAGTATTTTCATGAAATTAGGTATATCACTGAGGCACATCAGATGATGTTAAGTTCTGATATTTCACTTAGTCGCAGGTTTCCTAGATTATCATGAGAAACCGGTCACCAACAAATTCCACTCGGTTTATTTAGTCCTCACCATTCAGATATGCGATGAAATTTTATCTGTTGACACAGATCTAATGTCTACTCTTTCTTATATCCATTTCAAATCTTTACAATCTGTCTGATGACAATTGTAAATGTTTTATTATACTTCTGACTGGTTGAAGCATTCCCAGGATAAAATAGTAAAATCGACATCTTTTAGATTCTATATAGAATTGCACAAGCTTAAAGGACTGTTCATGAGACTGAAAAAATTATTATTATTCTGCTCACATTCAGAAGACCAGAATATAAACAGCTGTGAAACTATCTGATTTGGAGTGGCTTCTCAACTCTTTCTTGTTACGAAGTAACACATTACGTTAGAAAACCCTCGAGGATGAAGTAATATGCTTCGTAAAACACGTACAGGAAGTGAAGAATTATATACAATATTGAACTCAAATTTGAAATGACCTTGTATATCTAATATTCTACATTTGAACATTCCGACTTGTTCTTCTGAACTGGAGCATATCTACAACTATATTATCATTACTCCCATTGATCCCGAGTGAAGCACGAGACCTCAACAGCACATCTGCATTTTTCTCCGTTCTCTACAGCTTTCTTCAGCTAGCTCTGAAATTACATTCAATCCTTCATTTCCTCCTCAAACAGTCCCCTCCATGTCACTGTCAGATACTCTTCAATACCTTCTTCTGGACTAAACCACGGCAAAGGTCAGAGGAAAAGATTTGGTATCGACGTAAACATTAACAGTATGTAGCACAACTATCTGGATTAACTGGCTAAGTGAGATTGGGCATCAAAGGTTGTCCAGTGAAATTACGGTAGAATCTTCTGCCCTAACCCAGTGACTTAGATTGTCTATTCCAATTTTCGTTCTGTCCATGTAGTGATGAGCAAAACCGCGTCGTTGTGATCTGAACTCAGGAAACTGATCTTTCCGTCCTTCTGAATAGCTGACTAAAACTACCTTGGGACACGCAGAGTCACACAACACTCTAAGGACATCAAAAAGACGACTATTCCTGGTCATATCCATGTGTCCATCTTTTCAACAATAATAACATCGAAACTCAAAAATCTCTCAATCGGTGACGTCAGGCAAAATTCAACCTTACAACCAATTAGAATATCCCTATCGATGTGAGATTGAAAACTCTCTTCACAAGAATCACACACCAACAATTCCTGCAAATAGTCCAAGATCAAAATGACCTCAAAGAGCTGCACTCAAAAGAAAGATTAAACAAGAACTAAGCTTAATAACAAGGATATATGATATACAAATATTAGAAGAATAAAATAGAGTACACTACTTTTAAGACACCTTTTAGAAGGTAAGCCGGTATTTACAAAGTTAGTTGAAACATAGAAATGAGTACATATATTGTAATTAGACGGTTCAGGAGGAAATTTTCCGAAGAATTATTCCAGCACGCATAATGTTTCGCCTACTGGTATACAACCATTGTAAATCATTTAAAGAGATTGTTCAGTAACTGAACACAAATTCTGTGCGATCATCAGAGATTTGATGGATGGATTGGATTAGTGCTGTTAACTGTGTAAATGACAACTGTTCTCTTCTGCTAATATCCCCTCTTGTGAAAACAGTTACACATAGATAGATGTGATAGTATACCTAAGGAAAACAGCATATTAAATTGCACTTTGTGCTTTTGTACACACACAACAGAATAATGGTTGGATGATCGATACGAGCAGTGATTCACTCTTACAATAAAATTTCTCGATGAAAACGCAAATAAAACAAAGATCATTCTCTAGTGTTTCCTCAGAGTTAGAAGTCAGTTAAGTGAAGTGGCTCGTTAATAATCATATAAATACACCATTTTTGAAAACATCAATAAAATATTGAGACAGAAGTCTGTGAGTTTATGAGCTTACCGTATACTTACATTGTCACGAGATTATACTGATTGAGAATATCAGTGGATTTTAGAAACTTGTGTATCTGCTTTAACATTATGCTAAATGTGAACTGAGGCATGAATTACAGTCAGATAAACAATGAATTGAAACTAGTAGGAGATACTGGCCACATAAACATTACTCTAATATTTTTATTTCTCAGTAGAAGGTGAATTTAAAGACCAAGTAATGAACTCTGTTTGTTTGACATGCACATATGCATAAATCCGTTATTCACAGTGATATTTCGGTTTAATGTTTCAATCAAAGTTTCGTTATGATTATCGGTAGGGCGCTTCAGGTTGCATAAAATGTTTTCGTATCATGTATTTCATCTGCAGATGTTCCTCATGTCATTAAAACGTCGAATATATTCATGCATTCATTCATTCATTTTCAGACTTACGAAGCAGTCGAACAGTGTTATCAAATGACATGGTTCATGTCCTCTGATTTGATGAACCCTGGAAAGTGAGATAATATTTTCCTCCATCAATTTTCCTTTCACCAACAGCCAACGTGATAAAAAGCAGCTGCCAACAGTACTCTGGATTACAGCGTTTGTATGCGGGTGAGTCTTTCATAACACATTTCTTCCTTGACTTAATATTAAGGTAAACAATTTATAAAAGATGAGGAATAAGCTAGAAAGTAAACGTCATGTGAAATAGTATTATAAGTTATCAGTCTTAAATAAGTGGAGATGACATTTCACTGTGCTAACATTGCAGTCTTCATATTCAAATCTGCTGAAGTGACAGACAAGTTGATTGGATGATTTTAATAGATTCTGAGAAAATTCACATTCCATAGATTTAACTAGACTTCACAGACTTATTCATTTAACCGTTTATCTGATGTTACATGATTGATCCGTCTTTTCAAAGTGTGGAGACACATTCTTTGAATTTTTCATTTTCCAAAAAATATCTGTAGGTGTACTTTGATTGGACATTAGTAACTAGTGTAATCTGTCTAGTCCTTTCTCTGATGCAGACTGAATTCTATCAGTCAGGCTTTGAACTAGCACGAAACCTACATCCAAGGCTATCTGAGGATCGCCTCCAACCATCTAATATCTGTAGGTGTAATTAATTTCATATTTGGAAGATTCTTATTCCATCCAGTGTATTTGTAGAATACTGCATATTAGACATAATTGAGAATTTCACTACATCTGGGATCATAGACTCAAGCAAATACTAAGAAGTTACATGCTGAAGTCGTTCATCAAGCTGTTGATTGTATGTGCTCTTTTGTTATTTCGTGTAAAGCTTTGAATGACACAACTTCACAGAGTATCTGACTATTTTCTATTGTCGAGGTGTATTACTGACATTTTGGAAACTGTCATAGTTTGGACTAAGTCACACTGACGGTGTCAATTGATCGATTATTCAAAAGCCCAATAATAGTGAATTCTGTCATGATTAGTGGTCTTAAAACAAAGTTGATTAATTGTTGATGTTGGTGAATACACTGATATTACCTCTTGATTGTCTGTTTCAGCTGCATTGGTTTTGTCTTGCACATATTCTTGGCATTTATTCGAAGGTTTCGAACACTCTTTCCTCTTAATGTGATCACAGTATCATTCGCGGTGAGTTCTGAATTTACCAAATAGTTCTCACTTCTCACTATACATGAATTCACTTGAAGTAGTAGACTAGAATATTGCATCACATGAAGTAGTGAAATCATGATCAGTGCAATCCAAACATTCTTACAGTTTCCACGACTATCGTCTGAACTTTCTATCGTTGTCGTATATAAATGACTTGGCAGATAGAGAAATGACTGACCTTAGGGGGCACCGCTGGAAAATGATCAGGCGAAAAGACTAGACTGACAATGGTGAAGAGGGATCGTCTTCAGATTTTGAAGTCAACACTGTCTGAAAAGGATACAACTGCATGGATTACACGTAAATAAAATGAAATGAAACCAGTCGAGAAATCTACTTACCATTTTTTACGATCACTAAATATTCAATCTGAAAATCTCTCAGTATCACTGGTGAACTGGTATATTGCTGTGTGGTTTATTTATAAAATGCAACATCACTTGTGATTTTACAGCGGACTAAATGATAGTGACGACCACAAATCAATGTCAGTGTGTAACTCAAATCAATGCTCATTGACCTTACATAGTCATTATCCTTCATAGAATGCAATTTGGATGATAACTGCTAACTGGTTGGTAATGAGATACTGTGTTATGAATGACTGAGATCGATGTGATATAAACACACAAACCACAAGTGTTGAATTCTTGTAAATGTCTACTCATAATGAATTTATTCTTTTCCGTGAATTCATTTGCTTCTGATCTCCTTTTGCAGATCATATTATGGTGTGTAGTGGTTGCTGTATACTGTCGTGAATTATGCTGGGTATACATCTTGATTGCGCTGGGTTCAACAGCTGTTATAGGACTATCAGCATCGCTTATCGGTTTCAAATCAAAACCTCTATCAGCTGTTGGATATTGCTTCTTCATCGTAATCAGTATGATATTCATTATCATCGGAATTATGTTCCTCTTTCATCATCAATTATTCGGTGTAAGTGATGCATTTGAAGTGTTTATTTCACTCTCAGTTCTCATTATTCTATGTAACACTGTACTTCGATTTTTCTAAATATTCCACATTAGGAAAATTGTTGTGTATCTGCTGGTCTCGTCATGAAAAGTGAAAGAATAATACTGACTGCATGACAAATGTAAAGAAACCACATTAATTCGCTCATCCAGTTTGTTACTCAACTCAGTGTTCATCATTGTTGCAGTGTATGACAATTAGTATACAATCCTACTCTTCTCGCTTGAAGGTCATTGAACGAGGGAACTATCTGTTTGTCATTTAACGTTTTCGTGATGGCATCGATAGTTGAAATGTCCTTCTAAAATCCAGCTGACAATATTCCCATCAGCCTCAAACCACTGTAGAGTAGATGCGAGTTATCTATCTAGAGGTAGGCATCGTCTCTCATCAAAATTGCAATATAATTCCTCTTTTTGCTATAAACTGTGATAATGTGTCTCTATTAAAAGAAAACTTGATGAAAATAGTTTCTCATCACTAATGTCATCTCTTGATAAAATCACATAGATGAAAGATGGGGCTTTTTCGATGGCTTGTTTATTATCAAGAATCTCATGACGAATACCATCTTCTAGCAAAGTTCATTTATAACCGCTTTTTCTATAAAACATACCGTATACTACCTTTAAAACTGCTCTCCATACTGTTCATTTTATTCTTTCAGTTTCCATTCCTTATATTATATGGCGTGTTTATTGGCATTGGAATAGCTGTTGTGAGTCCCAATGAAAATTGTTTTACAGTGGTTATGTTGAAATTTTTCTGTGCTAGTCATGTGCTTATGTCCATTGTTAGTTCTCATCATTTAACATTTATAAATATGCCATAATTGATAGTGTTGAGTAGAGTTCAGTTAAAATTGAATGGAGGTCATTGAAAGATCCTTGTCATAGGAAGTGGAGTTGTGATAATGTTAGTGGGGCAAAAATATAAATTTTTTAGAATAACACATGTCAAATACTTCAACAAATCAGTTCCACTCTCAGTTGTGTGACTGAACAAATTTCTTCTGTATGCGAATTGCACAACCTAGATTGATATAGCTTCTGAACCCCAGGGAAAGTTTAATTGCTACATCTTTAGCAAGATTCTTGCATACTCATTCGTGTGACTCTGGAGTTGCATTTGACATTTAAACAATGTCTGGGATCGATTGTATGATCAAGAATACAGTTACGATTGACGGAGAGGCGGAGATTTCCTTCTCTCTGAAACTGTGACGGTGAATGTTCGGTGATATTTTCGGATTGTAAATGCCGTTAACATACCTTGTTCAACCCGTCAAATACTCAGGAAATCAAATTCATTGTAATTTGAGGGAGTGATAAATCTTCTATGGCAATCCTGCATGAACTTTTAAGTAGATATTTTGTTCTAGGCAGGCAACAAATGATTGAATAGTATCAGAGTGGTTCAGAGTCTGAAGCTTCAATCTTCTGGTATCCAGTTAGAATTGAGATGTTGAATTACAAATGCACACAGTTAATCTATTACATGACACGACGTCAGAACAAGTGCTTAGGAGTATTTCAGCTAATCAGGAGGTTCACAGAGTAGTGTGAAAAATCAATCACTAAGGAAATGTCCTCTACATATGTATTATTCGCTATCCACATTTTTATATGAATTGAATCTATTCAGCCAAAACTTTCATGAAACTAACCTGAAATCTGTTTTTGCAAATATTCATATTTACAGATGATATACTACTCTGCAGTGTGGTTGAAATATTCTCACGATAAATCAATAAATTCAACTGCGTTTAAAACTTACATAATTTTGCTCGAGTTGCTGGCACTATTTCTAACATTTTCTGACCTATTCTACTCACAGCAAAGACTCGATTTAAAATATCCAAAAAGGAATAAACTAAGCGAATATTGTGCCAAGTATGCCAGTCTCTCATGATTATTGAGTAAATAAACGTGTGGTTGTATACATCGACTTTTGCTGTAAAGACAGGAATTCCCAATATCAGTTATTTTGATTCCATTTCCTTCCACAAACTGTTTCATAAATGACCATTGCATGAATGAGTTTGCAAATATAGTTGAATGTTACACGCGATTTGATGTTGGTGTCATATTTGTTAGAATTTGTTGAGAGTGTATTCTCACTTTACTAACCTCAACGCTGATTCCTTCACAAAAGTATGTACCTAGCTCCGTTACTTCTTATCATTACATTTCGTGCATATCTGTTAGATGCTAAATGCATATTTGATCGTAATGTTTGAGTTGAATCAGTATCAGAAGCGTGGAGGACCTCACAGTTTTGTGGAAATCGAATGACTTATCATTCAGATTAGGACTAGTCACTGAATTGGCAACAAAACATACATGTTCAAATACTTGACATGATGTGACATGCTGCCCATTTTAGAATAAATTTGACTTAACGTCTTTATTGAAGCCAGAACAACATTCATTGACTTAATGTTGGTAAATCGCATCTTTTAGTAGACTTAAATGCTACGTTGTTAGATACCTTAAAAATACTCCGAATTTACGGATTACCATAAGTGCACAGCAAAGACATAACTCTTCGACGCATTCTCGGTATGACCGATTCACCTTATCATCTCCCGGCACAATGGCTAATACACCTACTACAACTGTAAAGAAGAAAAGACCGTGGAGGCTGAAATGGATATTTATTTGATGAAACGTACGGTATATAGCTAAATCTGGTATACCATATTCTCAACTTGCCATTCGCACATCATTTACCACATCCTTGACGAATTGGTCGAATATCGTCACATTCGATAGCTTCTTGGATTTTGCATCATATGGCAACATTCTTCTCATGGTTCTCTTCTTTGATTGCTCTTCCCAGTTTGCCAAACATATTGTTACTTTTCTGAATTCGTTTCTGATATACTACTTATATCGGATTATAAGTAGCACTCACCACACTCGCCCCCTTAATATAAAGTCTCTCCTGTAACCGCCTTGATCGCCGCACAGACGTTTCATCCTGCTGGTCTTCTGGTACCTCGTCTTGACATTCTTGTCTCCATCTTTGTAGCAGACTGGCGTTTACTCTTTTCTCTTTATCTCCTCTCTTTATTGTGTACACTGGACCGCATATGGTCCCTCCCACTTCGGCAGAAGCTTTCCTGATCCTGGTCCACTTCCGGTAGTACACTTTCGTTCTCTACACTTCACCTGGTCACCTACTTCAAACAGCTTCTAAGCTTTGATTTGTTTCTTGCCATAATTTTCGATGTCTATCTTGCGCTTCTCTTGCATATTCTGAATAGCTTGTCTCCACGCACTTGTCCATCTCTTACTGTTCCATTTTTGTTGTTGTGGCCAAGTCTTATGGTGCACCGGTAAGCGTGGTTTCCTCTCATACATCACCTTCCCCCAAAAATATTCTGACATTTTTCACTACCATTCCAAACACACACTCTATTTACGAAGAAGTATGCAGTGGGAAAACTGTGATTTGGAATCAAGAGGATGGAGCCTCTATGGTTCTCCTTTAGGTCATTTCCTAGTAGATGTCTTCATGGCGAGCTTAGAGAATAGTCTGTTTTAAGAAATTATCTGGAGTCTGTTTGTGTCTAAGAGATATATGGACGACACCTATACTAAATATGCCGATAACTGATCAGCCGCTAAACTTCTCGGAAAATTAAATGGTTCTTACCTGCCTGTGCTCTTCACTACCAAAAAGGAGCTGAACTCCACATTTCACTTCTTAGATGTTACACTAGACAGAAGACAGGATGGCACCTTGAAGTGGATGACTCTCTGAAAACCAACCTTCAAAGTGCAGTACACCAATTAAGCAGTTCATTATCTGGAGAAATCTCCTCTATGGATACAGTCAATATATAAATAAACAAACTTCACACAACCCTCTTAAGTAATGTACATCTTAGAAGGTCTGGTGACAGAAACATCAAAAAATAAACTGTCCCCAGATAAATCACGATGCCACAGTATACACTATTCATGCGTTTGGCGTTCAATAGTGACATTTGTGCTAAAGTGATTAGACGCTCTTTATATACAGCTTACTAACATTTCACAGTAGCCAGTTGAAATGTGACTTCACAATGCGTCACGGACAAACAATCACTTTTATCTACCTCTATGCAGATTTACTCATTTAAACGCTCATGTGGAGCTGATTACATCAGATACTGTAAGCATAATCTTCAAGAAGGCGTAGATAAAGACTATCAGATTCAAAACAAGCAATACAGGTTAATAATGCAGGATCTAACGAATTCATCACATTTCTATAGAACGCCTCAGCTGAATACTCTACATACACGGACCGATAGCTGCTACCTTGACGTGGTTGTCGAGCTTGCATATCGCAATGACCCAACGAGCTACACTGTTTAAAACTTATGTTCCTGTAGGTCCTACCATGCCAGAAAGGTTGTTTGGATAGCGGTTAGACAAAAAGTAGCTACCCAATCCAATACTATGACTCAAACAAACTCAAAAAATATCATGGCGGATCGGTCGGAGCCCGGATTAACAACGACCGCACTTCCTGCTGCTGTGTCACAGGGCAGAAGTCATAAATATGCCACACCAAACAAATAAAAACAAACAAAAACAGGCCGCATGTGACCGGCCTCAAGCAGTTTTCCCGTGGGCTCTGCGGTGACGCAACACTAACCTTTTCTCTATCCCCTTCTCAGGCGTGAGGCTAGCAACCCCACCCTGTGAACAAAGCTGCTACAGAAGCTTCAGCACGATGAATCTCCTTGCGCCAATAGAAAAAGTCTGTGTGAGGATATGGAACGTCCGCACCATGTACGAGATTGGCAAAGCTGCCCAGACCGCAAACGAAATGAAAAGATACGGAATTCAAGTACTCGGGATATGTGAAAGCAGATTAAACGGGAATGGATTAACCAAATTTTCAACAGGTGATTCAGTGATCCACTCCGGTCACCCAGAAGATTAACACATGTACAGCGAGGGCGTGGCTATCATGATGTCACCAATGACAACGAAGGCCCTGATGCAATAGGAGGCGATCTCGCCCAGGATAATGACCGCCAGATTCAACTCCAAAGGAAGGAAAGTGTCAGATATACAATGCTACGCACCCACAAACAACGCTAACCTCGAAAAGAAAGAAGAATTCTGCAGACAGCTACAGGCAACAATGAACAACACTCCAGTTTGTGACATTAGAATACTGATGGGAGACATGAACGCCAAGCTGGGACCAGACAACACAGGAAGGGAACTCGTCATGGGTAAAGAAGCTCTCGGAGAGATGAACGAAAATGGAGAACTCTTCGCCGACTTCTGCGCCTTCACTGAACTAGTGACTGGTGGCAGCGTATTAAGACAAAAAGATATCCACAAGACTACATGGCTGTCACCAGATGGGCGAACCGAAAACCAAATTGACTTCATCACAATCTCAGGGAAGTGGAGACGCAGCCTGCTGGACACAAAAGTAAGAAGTGGAGCAGACGTTGGCTCATACCACTACCTCGTACAAGGCACAATCCAAATCAAATTAAAAGCTTTCAGAGAAACAGGAGCCGCAGATAGACCACAAGCCAAGTTCAACACTCAAAGACTGAAGGACCAGGACACAAAGGACATCTTCACTGCAAGCATAAAGAACAAAGCCGAGACACAAATCAACACTGGCGAAGAGGTCAGCGTCGAAAAGCACTGGAACAACTTGAAAACATTGTGGAGTCAAACCTGCATGGAAATTCTA